CCCCCCCATGCAGGTGTCCCCATTCTGCCCCGCAGGGCTGGACCAATTCTGCCCAATTTCACCACAAACCAGGTGCATGGGGTGGGGGGGGAAGGGGAAAAAAGAGGAGGAAAAGGGAAGAAAAAGAAGGAAAAGGGGGGAAAAGGAGGGGAAAGGAGGAAAAAAGGGAGGGAAGGAGCAAAAGGGAAGAAAAATGAGGAAACATGAGGAAAAAGGGAAAAGGGGGAAAGGGGGAAAAGGGAGGGAAAAAGGTGGGAAAAAGGGAAAAAGGGGGAAAAGGGGGAAAAGAGGGAAAAGGAAGGAAAAGGAGCAGAAAAGGGGAGAAAGAGGGAAAGGGGGAAGGGGGAAAGGGGGGGAAGAGGATAAAGACAGAGAAGAAAAAGGGGAAAAAGGAGAAGATGGGGAAAAAAGGGGAAAAGCGGGGGAAGGGAAAATGGGATAAAAGAGGGGAAATGGAAGAAAAAAATGAGGAAGGGGGAAAGAAGGAACAAGGGGAGGAAGAGATAGATGGGAAAATGGGGGATGGGGAAGGAGGAAAAAGGGTAGCAGAGAGAAAAAGGAAAAAATGGGTGGGAAGGTGGAAATGGGGAAAAAGAGAAAATGCAAGAAAAAGGGGGGAATGAGTGGGAAAATGGGGGAAAAAGTGGAAAAGTGGAGAAAAAGGGAGAAAAGGAGAAAAAATGGGGAAAATAGGAAAAAAGCTGAAAAGTGGTGACATGGTGGAAAAGGTAAAAAATGGAGAAAAAGGTCAAAAATGGGGAAAAAAGCACGAAACGAGATCAGAAAATTTCTCCTTGATTAAGGCAAAACCACCCATTTTCCCCCCACAAATGGTGTTTTCGGTCCAACACGCTGCCACATACCCGCACGTCCCGATTCCCTCTACACCACCCCCAAACCGCCTGCCCCCCCGGCCCCAAACCTGCTCATTTTCGGGTATTTATCTCATCTCCCTCCTCACCTCATCCGAATTGCCGCCTAAATGACGTATTTCACAAATTAACGCACAAAAATGCACATGTCAAGAAAACCCTATATTCGTATTTTTAACAAAAATGCAGCAAATAAGGAAAAAACAAGTGATTATGCCCCAAAATTTGCTTTCTTCTGGGCGCTGTTGGAGGGCCGGCACCCTGCTGGGTCAGGCAAGCAGCAGCAGCAGATTTCTGAGCTAATTATGCCAGAACTGGTTAATAATTAGGGAAACACAGCGCCTTTAAGGCCCCAGCCCATCCCCCGCCAGTGCACACAGGGCTCATTCAAGAGGGAGGGGAAAAAAAAAAGCCCTGTTTTGCCCAAACTGACCCAAAAAGACACAATAAGTAGCACAAAGCGGCGCCGTGAGCCGGCTGCCGGCGACAGCACGGCACTCCCGGCACTGGGCCAAACTGCATTTTTTTTTTTCTCTGAAAAACTATCAGTTTGGCCAATTATGAAAAAGAATTCGGCCTCAGTGGATTTTGGTGAAGGAAAAAAAAAAAAAACCCCAACCAAAAATAAACAGATCTGGGGGCTTTTGGGTTGAAAACAACCACTTTGCATGGTGAAAAATGAGTATTAGGAATTGCAGCCTGGAGAATAATCCCAATTAAACACAAAAAAGTCCATTAAAAGGCATTAATGTATAAACATCGCTGAAAAAACCCACACAAACTTGGCAAAAAAAAGGCATTTTACAACAACAAAAAAGTTTTTTTAAATGAAAATTAAGATTTTAATGCAAATGCCACTATATTCTGGCAGGGCTAGGGGGATTTTGCCCCAAATTGTCTGCCCCTGGCTTGATGCAGAGCTTGCATGCTGCAAGCAGGAGGATAAGCTCTACTCACACCTTACTCAAGGTTTACACTCACAACCCCCCGGGGACTCTCCTCACATAGATTGAGCCTGCCGTGACCCCCTGCAATGCAACATGGGGCACCCCATTGTGCCTCCTCATAGAATGCTACACAGCTGCTCCGAGGATGCTACACAGCTACTCCAAGGTGCTGCATCATCACGTCACAGCACAGGCAGCTGATTTGCATGTGGTGGAGATCTTGCAATCATGCAAGGAAGTGCAATAGGCCCCAGAGGGGCGTTACTCATAGGGTACTACACTGCTACTCTGATGGGCTACACAACCACGCTGCAGTGGGGTAGGCTGGTCTGCATGCCATGGGAAGGGCGTGTTCTCATGACCGTGCAAGGAGGCATGCAGGCCCAAGGGTGGCCTACTCACAGGATACTATGCAGCTACTCCACGCTGCTGCGTGGCTACTCCACGTGCACGGGGCTGAGTTGCATGTGGGGTGTACCTTGCTAGTGGGCAAGGAGGCATGCAGACCCTGAGGGAGTCCTTACTCATAGGATTCTACAGCACTATTCCTGACATGGTGCATGACCACACCACAATGCAGGGAGCTGCTCAGGAAAGTCTCGCAAGGGCGCAAGGAGGCACGCAGGCTGCCAGGGGGCTTACTCACAGGTTACTACACCACTGCTTTGATGTGTTGCATGACCACGTTGCAATGCAAGGGAGCCAGTTTGCATGGGGAGGGGAGGTGGCCTTTGCAGGTGCGCGAGGAGGCACATGTCCCCAGGAGTAGGGGCGCCTTACTCACTCCTCATCCTGGAGGCGCTCCTCCTCTTCCTGCGCCTGGAGACGCCCCCGCACAGGGGCCAGACCCTCGGTGGCAGCATCGTAGTTGCGGAAGCAGACGGTGAGCTTCTCGTCGAACTCCTGCACCAGGTCCTCCATTGACTTGAAGCTCATCATCTCGGCCGAGAAGCTCTCCAGTTCAGCCAGTGCCGGGTCTGCAGTGCGTTGTGGGGTCCCCCCATCATCCCCAGGCCCCTCCTCGAACTCCTCCTCCAGGCTTACCAGGGGTGCCTCCATCCTCCTCAATGCTGGTGCGCCACCTTAGCTGTGGGGAGAGGGTGCCCGTGAGGCACCAGGCTACTCACAGGTTACAACTGCATTGTGATAATATCCTGATAGTATCATAGTAGTACCCTGATACTATCTTAGTAGTATCCAGTAATGGCCCTGTAGTAGTGCCTTGATAGTATTGTGAAAGTATCTCAGCAGTATCTTTGGAGTATCCAGGCAGTATCCTGATAACACCTTAGCAATGTCCTGGTAGTACCTTTGCACTACACTGAGAGTATCCTAGTAGCAGCCATTGAATAGCTTAGCACTGCCCTGATGGTGCACTACCACAGGTAGTAGTACCCTGATACTATGTCAGGGAGCATCCCAATAGTATCCTAGTTATATCCTAACAGTGCCCTGATAGTATCACAGTAATATATGAGCAGTGTCCAGATAGGATCCTAACACTGTTGTAATAGTATACAGCTAATATCTTGGTAGTGTTGTGGTAGTATCTTGGTAGTGCAATGTCATATCCAGATATTACCTTAGTGCCATGTTACTACGCTGAAAGCATCTTAACCATTATCTGCTGTAGTATCCTGAGAGTACCCTGATGCTGTGTTAGCACTGCTCCAGTGGGATCTTCATAAATAGTATCTTAGTATCAACCCTGGAAAGATGCCGGAAATATCTTAGTAGTGTCCTGATAGCATCCTGGTAGTGCCCTGATAGTACCTTAGCAGTGTTCTCGCAGTATCTCAGTAGCATCCACATAGTATCCTGACAGTATCTTAGTGCCACCCTGAGAGTGCCTTAGCACTGTCTGCAGAGTACCCTGACGGCATGTTAGTAAACTCCTGGTAAACATCTTAGTAGCATCCCAGCATCCCTGAGAGTATCTCAGCTGTGTCTTGATAGCATCACACTACTCCCTCACAGGGTTACTGACAGTACCCCAGTAATACCTTCGCAGCAGCCTCATAGGAAGCAAATAGTAATCTAGTAGTAAGCCCAGTAAAGGTGCCACTACCCCAACCCACTCACCCAGCCCCGGTCACACTTCCCCTAGGGAGGAGAGCAGAAACACGCCGTGCTTTCTGGGGGAAAACCTGGCCAGATTGGGGTTTTGAGTACTGCCTGTGCACACGCGTGCGTGTGGCATGTCTGCATGCCCGCTGCACACGCGTGCACCCCCGCAAGCGTGTGGCACTGGGTGTGCACGCGCCTCCACAGGTCTGTAGCATGCACCCCGTGCACGCACGCACCCCCACAGGTGTACGGGGTGCACGTACACCCCTGCCTGTGGGCACCTGAGCACAAACACGCGCACGGGGCGCGCGCGCACGCTGCGTGTCTGCAAGGGGTGCGTGCACACACAGAATTTAGCACGTCCCTACACCGGGCACGATGCAGCCCACGCAAGGGGCGCGTGCAGATGAAGGTGCGTGCACGCACGATGCGCACGCACGCGCAGGCGGTGCACGTGTGCCGGGGTGCGTGTGTGCACCGGGGTGCAAGCACACACTGCGCACACGTGCACCTCCTCCCGCACGTGCCCCGTGGGTGCGTGC